ACATCAGAGTGGGAAATGGGATTAAACAAAGGAAAGGGTTAAATCAGAACATCAGAGGGGGAAATGGAATTAAACCAAGGAAAGGATTCAATGAGATCATCAGAGGGGGAAATGGAATCAAAGGAAAAGATTAAATCAGAACATCAGAGTGGGAAATGGGTTAAACAAAGGAAAGGTTAAATCAGAACATCAGAGGGGGAAATGGAATTAAACCAAGGAAAGGATTCAATGAGAACATCAGAGGGGGAAATGGAATCAAACAAAGGAAAGGGTTAAATCAGAGGGGGAAATAGAATTAAACAAAGGAAAGGGTTAAATCAGAACATCAGAGGGGGAAATGGAATTAAACAAAGGAAAGGATTAAATGAGAACATCAGAGGGGGAAATGGAATCAAACAAAGGAAAGGGTTAAATCAGAACATCAGAGGGGGAAAATTAAACAAGGAAGGATTAAAAGAACATCAAGGGGAAATGAATCAAAACAGAGGGGGAAATGGAATCAAAGGAAAGGGTTTCAGAACATCAGAGGGGGAAATGGAATCACAAAGGGTTAAATCAGAACATCAGATGGGGAAATGGAATCAAACAAAGGAAAGGGTTAAATCAGAACATCAGAGGGGGAAATGGAATTAAACAAATGAAAGGATTAAGTCAGAACATCAGAGGGGGAAATGGAATCAAACAATCCTTTGTTAAATCAGAGGGGGAAGGAATTAACAAAGGGAAAGGGTTAAATCAGAGGGGAAATGGAATAAACAAAGGAAAGGGTTAAATCAGAACATCAGAGGGGGAAATGGAATTAAACAAAGGAAAGGATTAAATCAGAACATCAGAGGGGAAATGGAATCAAACAAGGAAATCAGAGGGGGAAATGGAATAAACAAACAAATCAGAGGGGGAAATGGAATCAAACAAAGGAAAGGGTTAAACCAGAACATCAGAGGGGGAAATGGAATTAAACAAAGGAAAGGGTTAAATCAGAACATCAGAGGGGGAAATGGAATTAAACAAAGGAAAGGATTAAGTCAGAACATCAGAGGGAGAAAGGAACTTACACCTTCGCAAGGAAGAGGATCAAACATACGAGAGCCTTTACTCTTGCTAACCTGGTGACTCGGGCGAAGGAATTCAACCCAACCACCCAAGACAGACAGCCGGTTTTCTTAAAACTGCCAGGCCTGACCAATGAATTTTCATAAATACAGATGCAGAAATAAAGGCATATCTGTCCATATATCTGATAGATATACCTATAACCATCTATTTACCGGGTTGATATGCATGTCGAGACAGATAAATATGCACTTATTTCTTTATTTATGCACGTCAAGTGTACGAATATTCTTTGGGTCGGGCCTTGCAGAATCCTAACAAACCGGCCGAGAAATTCGCTCTCTGGGACCAAGGTCGTGACACTGAATCAACAAACACTTCAAAGAGATAACAGAGGGAGTCGCACTTGAAGTAGGCTGTAAGCAGAGATAAGCAAAGGCGTCAGTAAGCTCCATTAGTAAGCTAGAAACATATGCACTTTGTGCAAAAAAACAGGGTCATATATATATTTATATATATATCATAGTTTATATGGTATTACAATTGCTGTTGCTGTTTACTATTCATTCATATTATCTTTTCGTCTTAAAATAAACATTTTGGTTGAAAAAAAAAAAATTTAATGGAAATAGCAGGGATAATTCATATTCACTCTTGTAAGCATTTTACCAAGCAAAATATCTCTTCAAGTTTTGATATGAGACACTAAGGGAAAAAAATAAGGAAGAACTAGCATAAAAAGGCAATGAAATTAAAGGAAATAAGTATAATAACTTTCTTATCTATCTTTCAACAGATATTATGCATCAGATAAGATAGAAGCTCTCATCCACATCCGAATATCTTAACAGAGTGGATACATATTGTCAATTTTACATCAACAAGATTGTGAATTATCCACTTATGTACACATATATTATCAAAAACAGAATGGGTGTTTATATTTATACTTCTATTTGTTACAATTACATAACTGACATTACCTGAATGTTCTCAATGATGTTTGTCATAAAAGAAGTGCCATAACTGAGCCAGGAAGAATAAGAATTAGCATAGCGAGAGGCTTCCTCCCGTGCCTCCTGCTCTGCCCTCCAAGCTGCCTCCAGTCGGTCAAGCTGGGCAAGTTTGCGGCCCTGCGAGGCGGCCTCTTCTGCCTCTTCATCGTACTGTCAGAAGTAAAAGGGTGAAACACTTGTGCTACAACTACATATGAGTCACATGAAACTAACCCATTATAATCATAAAAGCGTTCATAAATATTTTTATATCTTTTATACGTACATGAAGTTTCTGCACGGTGAAAAATTTTTAACTGTAAGCTCAGACAAATTTTGAGACATACCTCATCCAACTTGACCGGGCCAGCCACAAGGTATAGCTGTTCGAAGATAATGACCCAGGGCTCAGAGCGGAGGCGTGACACCGGGATCTGTAGCTTAACCTTCCCCACAAACCCTGCCCGCACTTCCACAGGCATGTCGAGGTGGCGGAGGGCATCTTTTCGCAGTGGCACATTTTCAAGTTCTACTTCACCTGGTAAGAAAGGGGTAAATAGTAATAAATTTAGCAAACTTCTTAAAATTTAGAAATAAGGAATTATATATTTCATGAAAATGAGTTGTGAATTTTCAAGTTCTACTTCACCTGGTAAGAAATGGGTAAGTAGTAATAGGTTTAGCAAATTTCTTAAAACATAAAAATAAGGAATTATATATTTCATGAAAATGGGTTGTGAAAGACAGTGACCTGAGCAAAAAATAGCATCTGATCACTATAAACAGACTGTCACACTCAAATTCACTATCAAAATGAAAAATCATATATCATAATATGAACTGCAGAGGGGCGAGGAGGAATAGAACACAATTTACATTTTTATAATAAAGAATACATTACTACATACCTTTCAAAAGTCCAATGGATAGCTGATCAGTGTTCAGATTTTCCAGGTATTTTCCTAAATAGTTGTTGAGTACCCATGTTGCTAGACCTTCAAGCATTCTGCTCTGCAGTCTTCAGCAATATCTCTGATGACTATGGTCCTGAAAAAAAATTATATATAAGCTTTACATATAGATTATTAAATCCTATAACTAACAGAAGATTCTGCAATATCTTATCCCTCAGCAAATACATGATGAAATAAGGGATAATTCTCTGGAATTCTATCTTATCTTATCTTATCTTTCTTTACAGGATCTTTTCCATATCACACATATGTATCCATACCTACCTCTGTACACCTACATCTGCACACTCCTACCCACATCCCCCACCCACACACATTAACTAACTCTAATACTAATACTCAGCATATATTCACACACCTCCTTAGTCATCAGGTTATATGAGCACTATTATCTTTCTGTATCTTACAAACGGTATACAGTGTGTGCTGCAATGTGGAACTCCTTTTTTGTAATGCCAACTCAATTTTAGAACAGTCTACAGAACCTACAGACAGGTATAGAATGGTATTAACCAGCTTATATCAATATATTCTAATAATCAAAATACACAAAGAAAAAAAGTACCATAAATTTATAAAGTAATGTTGAAATATATTTTGCATAATTCTGACATTCTTTTCTTGTAATCATGAATAAAAATTAGTATGATGTAAAGTAGGAAGAGAGAGAGAGAGAGAGAGAGAGAGAGAGAGAGAGAGAGAGAGAGAGAGAGAGAGAGAGAGAGAGAGAGAGAGAGAGAGAGAGAGAGAGAGAGAGAGAGAGAGAGAGAGAGAGAGAGAGAGAGAGAGAGAGAGAATTTGGTAGGTTGGGTATTTATGGGTTAAATATAGCCTAATTACTCACACAAAATATATATTACCATGAATATATAGTTTTTCACTAAAGTTATATACATTTACTAAAAAACCTTTATCACATTAGAAAAAAACTAATTTTCTAGCATCACAATCACCAAGATGATACAGCATATATTGTGGTAACATTGTCTTCACCTCCAATGTACAGAAAGACAGAGCTAAAACTCAGCAGCATTGAGTGAACTTGGGCTGAGAGCAGAGCTTTCTGCAATCTTTTTAACACTATTTGTGGCATTACCATTCATGTCTTCAGATTATTTCTTATAGCAATTTTCTGTCTTCTACAAAAATATCATATTCAATTTTCCCCAACTTAGTGCATCCATATTGTAAAGATTAACTAGATAAAGTTTAGAGAGGTTCCTTGATGATAAAATGCTACGATACATCATGTATAGCAGGAACCCTCTCTCAGGTGATTCACCCGTGTTAAGTGATTTCATGAGAAAGCAAGTTTCAGCTCTATCTTGCCAGTGTGAAGTTAATCTTTACGGTATAGACACACTAAGTTAGGGCAAACTGAATATGATATTCTTGCAGAGGATAAAAAGTTTCAATAGTTGGTACAAGAAATAATCTGCAGACACAAACGATAATGCAACAGAAATAATCTGCAGACACAAACGATAATGCAACAAATTAAGGGAAAATTCACGGAGAACGCCATCTCAGCATACATCCACTCAGTGCTCCCAAGTTTCAGCTCTACAGGCATACCAAAATAATGCTTTCTGCTGGGGCAGAGCCACTCTCAACCCTCTCCCGGCATACCAATGTGAAGATAATGCTTTCCAGGGGGTGCTGGGGGGCAGAGCCACCTCTCAACCCTCTCAGTCACGGCAACTGATTGGTGAATATACTTTTTGATGTAGAGTTGGGGCGTCTCTGACAAATGTATCCATACTGTAAAGAATTACCCACTTGCATTATTTGGAACAAAATTTTTAAACCTTTTACATGAGACTGGCTTGTTAGTTTGAAGCAAACCTCAACTGGGTAATGACAAATAAACAAACTGAGGTTCCAGGTTTTCTTTGCCATGAGGTAGCTCCGTTTCCAAGTAGATGTGTGTCAGTAATGGGGAAAAAAATCAATTACATAATCTAATGTTTATCCATTGCAAGTAGGAACACCTGATGAAGAGTATTATATTCCTAATACAAAGAGATTTACATGATGACCATATCATGTCTCAGGATATTACAACACTCTGTAAGGGCTGGATAAAATTTAACAAGAAACTTTCCTTTAGCAAAAGTAATTTCGTATCTAGTTTTTGAACAGCATTGGTTGATGAAGGTTGTTACAATTTTTTGCATTATCATTGCTTCAAACTATACAGTATAACTAAAATTAACAATGTCACTTAAAAACCAGTGAGTAGTTGGTTAAAACTATGGTTAATTTTTCAATTATGACAATCGGGACTTTCCAGACAATATCTATATCATCAAATTTATTCTCATGTGATGAGAATGAATCAGATGATCATTTCCATTGCAATCACAGCCAGCAATCTTGATGTGTTAAGTCTTGTTAGCAGGGGAGGGCATGAAGTATATCAGGGAAATTATGGGGTAAATCAGGCTTAAATAAGAATAATAGATAACAGAAACGTGTAAAACTAGCATAAAAACACTAAAAATCAGCTAATGAAACTCTATGGACATGTCTGCCACCTTTGAAAGTCTACGCACCGACGTGCCAGAGTTTGAAAAACTCACACCTTCCAGACCCCCCCCCAAAAAAACGTCTTAACCCATAACTCAACCTAACCTAGCAATTTACGGTGCCGTGACTAGGCGTGCCCTTCGGGCACTGCCCGAGGGGAGGGTTGATGGGGGGCAAGCCCCCCAACATCCCCCGGGACACAATCTCTTCACCTCGGTATGTACAGCAAGATAGAGCTGCATCCATACTGTAAACATTAAACCAAATACCTTTATATATTGAAAGACCGAACTGTAAATTTTCCTTCGCTTCTTTCGGTCGGTCTACTGTGGATCGTGGATCGCTTTGTTTTTATCGCTTTTTACGGCATTTGCGGTACTTGATGGCCTCAGAAATCGAACTGCGATAGTTATTAAGGTCTTTTTTTTCTTTGTTTCCACTATATAGTCTTAAGAACAACCTAGAATCAACGTAACACCAAAACCGAAACATTTCTCGCCAGTCACCTGTCACTGGACTACCCTGGGAATTATCCTGTCAAACCTGGCAGCAGAACGCGAAAATGCGTCTGCGCAGAAGGTGCTTCCGGCCGATTTCCTTCAATCAGTCTAATAAATCTCGAAACATGAAAATGAGGTATAACAACATTAACAAAGGCCTTTGAAAGCATGTGTGGAACAGCAGACACTGATAATTAGCCAAATATCGCTTTGACAACGGCGTAGTAATACATGAACTACTTAACAGAGTGCAAGAATGAGTTGACTGGTCACAATTTTGTTTACATTCACGATGTCAACATGGCGAGGGACTTTGAAAAAGATGGATCGGTCTTCTCTCTTCTCTGTCGTGTAACCTTTATTTTCGATTTGAGCACCTTTTGCCATAGATGAAAAGTGTCTCAGTTTACGTCAAGATAACCATTCCATATCTTTTTTTTACTGTAACCCTGATTGTTATCCCAGGTAATTTTACCAAAACTACTCACTGTACACTCATCATTGAAAATATCTGCTCAATTTACAAATACACAAACAAAAGTGCAGAGAAGGTAAAACACATCTCAATCTCAATCTGGATACGTAAATGAAATTTTAAATCCATGCTACAAAAATGTCCTGTGCTTTACCATATACCTTAAACGTAATTTGTATCTATTTTAACATTATCAATTCATATAAAGCTATTGTATCTTTCTTTAAGAGTTCTTTTGCTCTTAGTAAAGACATTCTTCAACAAATGTTTACAAAATAACTAGTTCTGTATCATAGCACTATTATGAACTTCCATATCTTTTCTTTCTATTCATAATATTGTTTCCTTGTTTACTTTTTACATTTCCCTAAATTACATGACTTTTTGTTCTTTTCTTGTTTATTTGTTTTAATTCCTAACATGTTTCCTCCTGCTAGAGCTAGACTTTTGAGGCAATCATGAAACGAGAAATTTAGTCAACGTATCAAAACAGTCCAGAGAACTTTTGTGAAATTGATATAAAATAACCCTGAATATATTCTCGAAACTTTCTAATAAATGTTCCAAAGTCAAAATATATATAGTAACCACAAACATCGCACAATATCTACGGAGAAAGAATACTTATATATAATAACCCACGATACCTGACTGCCACTCCCAGACTATATAAGGGAAACGACAACAAACAAATAACTAGTACACAGAAAAAATACAAGTGTTACAGCAGAAACCTTGAACGAATCGCCCTGCCCTTGGACACGAAGCGAAACCAACTTCATGTTACACGTCATTTTCCTTCAAAATGGAGCAATGTCAAGGTTCAAACAGCTCCCAAAATCCTCTTGGTCCCTTCCCTTACCCTTTAACAGTAATAAAGTAACAAGAGTGTCGAAGAGACTGTCATTTTTCTTGGAAATATATGACACTCGAAGTAAGCCGGGTTGAGGGTGCCGTGTGTGAACGTCTAGATCATCTGTTTTGGTTCTTGCGTCACAGACCTTGCGACGTCGTACGGAAAAGAGGACTATTGTCGTACGGATATGCGCAGTTTTTGTGATATCGTGTCCTTTTAGTTTCATTGCTTATGTTGATAGTGGTAGCTAACAATGTCAGTTTATCTCTGTGTGTATTTCTTTATTCGGCCGTTTATGTCTTTATGTATTACCTTCTCTTTGTGTATCTGTGAGAGGCAGCTCTTGCTGCCTCTCACCATCTGCCTGCCTTACATTGTTTCTCGCTTTGTCTCCTTTTCTTCATCTTTCTTTTCTTTTGTTGTGAGTGTGTGTGTATAATATATATATATATATATATATATATATAATATATATATATATATATATATATATATTATATATATATATATATATATATATATATATGTATGTATATTATATATGTATGTATGCATGTATGTATGTATGCATATATATGTGTATATATATACATATATATATATAATCATATAATATATGAATATATATATATATATATGTATATGTATGTATGTATGTATGTATATGTATATTCATATACATATGTATATATATGTATATATATAAATATATATATATACATATATAGATACATATATATATATATATACATATATATATATATATATATATATATATATATATATATATATATATATATATATATATGCGCGTGACCGCGCGCGTTTCTCTCTTTCTCTCTCCATCTCCCTTCTCTCTATCTATCTTTCTCTCTCTCTCTTTCTTTCTGCCACTCTCTCTCCATCTCTCCGTCTCTCCCTTTCTTGAGACTTGCCTCCCACCTGATTTCTCTCTCTCTCTTTCTATCTCTCACTCCACCTTTCTCCTATAATCTGTCTCTATCATTGCTCCTTCATCTCTCTCATAATCTTTGTATATATCAGGCCTCCCTTCCCTATCCATAGACCTATGTGCCTATCCATCTAGCTATCCGTTTGTCCGTCGATCTATTTGTATTTTTGTCTACCCTGTTCTCTGTCTCCCCATCTGCGTCGATGCTTATACATCATTTATCTATCCAACTATCCACCAAATCACAGGCTCAAGAGTCCCTGTGTCAAAAACAGTAGGACACAATGATTCCAGAGCAATCATAGCGTGCGTTATTTTTAGACTTGATTTCCAACTACATCGATCTTAAGAACTTGGAAAAGAGTAGTGTTGATGGAAATAGCCACACAGAGAGTGCAGGGCGGCAGCTGCAATATGGATTAGTAACAGAAAGAACTTCCCCTCGACCAGTTGTTATATAAATACCCCAATTCACGAGTCACTGTTTTACCCTAAGTTGATCTCGAGAAAGAGGTCTTCGTACATGAGATGCGACTTGGCTGCCGCTGTGGCGAGTTTGAGATAAGACTGGCCACACTGAGCGCTTGATAACATCTTAGTGGACCACCTGTAGGAGTGACAGTAAGCGGTCTTGCTGAAACACGGTCGAAGAGGTTATGGTTGCCACTTACTTTATAAAGATTTAGGAATCATCAGAACTAGTGTCCGGTGCGAAAAATTAGATGACTTAACCCTAAATAGGCGATTCGGTCATTCAAGAAGCCGGGAGGAATTCAACTTTGCAAATCTTGAGCTAAATTGAAATGCTGTTTATCTGATCTTCTCTCTGTCTGATTATCAATCTACTTATTTGTGTCTGTATGTCATTCAGCTTTTCTTTCTGTTTGTCCCGACTACCTACCGCCCAATGATATATCTATCCATCGATCCAGTTACTCATCGAAGTATATATTTATTCATCTATCTATCTGCTTAATTATCTACTTCCCTCTCTTATTTTGCCTTTCTCATTATAACACTCTTTCTGTCTACCTTTTTCTTCATCTCTATTTTCCTGTCACATGTCTCTCTAACTCCAATATCTATAATAATAAAAACCGAGGCCATCCCTTTGTTGCTATCTCTATGCATTATTCATGTTCAACCAATATAGATCTATCGCCCATGTTTCATTCGCATAAAAGCGACAGTGAGAATGCCAGGGTCAAGTGTCCTCGCTCCGGAAGCAGACCCAAAATAACACAAAGAACGAGGCAAAGACTGTAATAGATACCACGTCTCTCGTTCAAATATTTCCCCTAAAGACAAAGAACGAGGAAGAGGCTGTAATGCATACCACGTCTTGCGTTCAAATATCCCTGCTTCTTTTACTACTTCCCTTTACGCCTTCGCAAAAGTTAGGAAGTTCTCCTCGTTGGGAGAAACTTCGTATAAGCTTTCAATCCCAGAAGGGAAACGGGTAATCCTTTATATCCTCAGAGATGCTAAAGGCACGTAGGTGTCACTGCGGATCCGATGGCACCCGATGGTACTCAATGGCACCCGAACAGTAAGCCACATCTGCTGGTAACACGGACTACAGCGGTTATTTGTTACTATTTGGCGTTATTTAGTGGTTGATATTGTCTATCATTTGTTTTGATTACTAATGATGATTAGGATTAATAATAGTGGTTTATGTTATCCGATAGTGATTATTGCCATCAGCTATTAATCCTATCTGGAAAAATAGGCCTAGCTTGGATATAATAGGCTTAGGATATTTTCTCCTAACAGAAGAGCGACGATTTTGGTGGTCTAAGGAGATTGCTCTCTAGCGGCGTTACTCGTCTCAGGTACGAGATGCGAAAACCAAATTGGAAAATGTCGGGAAACTGCCCGGCGCTTCCGGGGAGCGCTCCTCTCTCCTTGGCGGATGGCGACAGAGTGGAGTTCTGGGGAAACCTCGCTCTCGTAATAAAATCAGCTGCGCTTATACAAACATATATATATATATATATATATATATATATATATATATATATATATATATATATTATATATATATATGTATATATATATGTATATGTATGTGTATACATATATATATATATAATATATATATATATATATATATATATATATGTATGTGTGTGTGTGTGTGTGTGTGTGTGTGTGTGTGTGTGTGTGTGTGCATATATATAATATATATACATGCATACATACATATATAAAATAAATATATATATATATATACATATATATGCATATACATATATATATGTATATGTATATATATATATATATATATATATATAATATATATATATATATATATATATATATGTGTGTGTGTGTGTGTGTGTGTGTGTGTGTGTGTATCATTATGTATATATATATACATATATATATATATATATATATATATATATATATATTATATATATATATACATTTATGTTTCGTTTTCACCTGCGACCCCAAAAGTCGGAAGAAGAGAAAAAAAAGCGTTGGAAGAAGGAGGGAAGCTAGAAAGAAAAACGAAAAGAAAGGGAAGGAAAGGAAAGAAATAATATAAAAAAAATGACCAGGAGACATACCGGTCAAACAGGACAAGAGGGAAGTGATATATATATATATATATATATATATATATATATATATATATATATATATATATATATATATACAAATATATGATAAGGATAAAAATAATGATGATAGTAATGATAATGATAATAATAACAATGATGATGATGATAATGACAATAATAACAATTATGGTAATGATAATAAAAATAACAAAAATATTTATAACGAATGCGTCGGCAACGTAGCTCAAGTGGTCCGAGGGGGTCAAGGTTCATACGTAGGTTCTACAGGCAAGGTTAGGAAGGGTTATTGCTCCCCCTTCCGCCCTCCATATCCCTTGACCTCCTTCGCTGATCCGAAATCCCTTCCTTCCTTTCACAGAACTTCTATTTCGGATTCTCCAGGTGAAGAGGGAGAGAAGGAGGAGAGGCTGATAATGGAGAAGGGAAAGGCAGAGGGGAAGATGTTGCGATGGGGAAGCAGGGTGAGGGGGAGAGGAAGGGGCGAGAAAGAGTAAATTGGGTGAAACTGAGAAATAATTAGTCAGAAGAATGTGTGGGGAGAGAAGGAGAAAGGATGAGAGGAGAAGGAAGCAAGGGAGAGAGAGAGAGAAAAAAAAAATTAGGTGAAATGGGAAGAGAATTTGGATCAGTAGAAGTGCGTGGGGGGGGGGGGGATAAGACAGAGAGAGAAATGGGATCTAAGAGAGAGACGAGAATGAAAAAAGGAGAGAGGGAACAAGGAGAGTAGATTAATGCGAAGGAAGGAAGGAAGGAGGGCGAAAGAGAGTAAGGAAGAAGGGAAGAAGGAGGCAGAGAGGGAAAGGAATATGGTGAAGATAGAAAACAAATGAGAAAAGAGAGAGAGACTAGAAAATAGTAAGAAAGTGAGAGGCAGAAGAGAAAAAGTAAATGGAAAATGAAATGTAAAAATGAAGATAGTAAGGAAAGAAAAGGAAATATCAAATGAAGAAGAACAAACACACGCGGCGAGGAAACGAAAGATCACTTTTTCTCCTCCTCCACTTCCCTCAACTATCCATCTTCCTTCCACATCTCCCTCTTCCATTTTCCTTCATTTTCTCCTCCTTCTCCTCTTCCTCCTCCTGCTCCTCTTCCTTCTCCTATGCTTCCCTCCCTTTTTCTTCCTCCTCCTCCTCTGTGAAACATGTCTTCTTTATTACCTCTTTTTCCTTCTTTATTCCTCCTCTTCTTCTTCTTTCATATATCTTCCTCCTCTTTGAATTATCAGTCCCCTTCTTTTTCTTTCCTCCTCCTCCTCCTCCTCCTCGTCCTGCTCTTCCACTTCCCTCCCTTGCTCCTTTTTTACTTCCCATCCTTCCTTCTCTTCTCCCACTTCCCTCCTTCCCTTCTCCTCGAACAATCGCCCCTCCTCCTAATCCACTTCCATCCCCCTCTTTTCCTTCCACTGCCCTCCCTTCCTCCTCTTTTACTTCTCTTTTTCTCCTCTCCTCTTCCTCCTCTTCAGCTTCCCTCCCTCCTCCCCTCTCTCCATTCCCTTCTTCTCCTCTTCCTCTTCCTCCACTTCCCTCATTTCTATCTCCTCCTATTCCACCTCCCCCATTCCTTCTCCTC